AAAACAATTACCGAACTAAACCCAAGGTACACCGATGACTTGAGGCACCTTTGCAACCCTGTCATTCCCCTTAAACCATTTTCAATCAAATATCCATTTCTTCATCAACCACTTTGAGCCTCGTCTAACGGTTGGCCTCATATTCAACCCACATTCACTTAACCATGGGATTGGAAGAGGTGTAATTGTATAACATTCAAAAAGCAAGTAAAAAAAAAAGCAGAAAAGCAACAATAAAACAATGTCTAAGGGCAAGTGTTCCAATGTATTTGATATGAACACGTCTCAAATTGCGTCTCTCATCGAGTGCTTGGTACCGTGCCTGAGAAACATGAATGCTAAGTGAGTGATAGACCGCATGATCTGAGATTGCCCACATTGATTCAAAAGAATGAAAAAAAAGAGCAAAAAAAAAAAAGAAGAAAAAATGAAAATAAACTTGCAAAATTCAAAACAAAAAAATATATGAAAAATAAAACTTGCAAAGTCTAATACACAATTGCATATTTTGGGGGCTTCTCTCGGGTCTTGAGCCTTTTACCCCTTTCTTCCTTAAACCTTCAGCTTAACCCCTTACAACCCTTGAAAGACCTCTTTGAGGTGTACACACACTTGTGCAAAGTTCCGTTAGAGATACGTTCGGCCTGATTCCTAACGGATACGTAGGCAACCTCACATCGAGGTGCGGCCACATTCATATTCATATCCATGCATGATCGAGTCAAAGAATATCCAATGCTTACCCCTTCCCATCTAGAGTTAGACTTGGGGGCTTGAACCCACACAATTTAGCCTACCCAGCCTAAAGAGTCATCATCTTTGACTCTTCTCACATCTCTTTCCATCACCATAACCCTTGCAGCCAGCCTTAGTATCACATTCACACACTTCACTCACACATACATATCCATATCAATCATCCTTCCCTTTAAGAGCCCTTTATCATGAAATCTTTTTTCAACACTGTGCATGTTTCATCAAATTTAAAGACAACATTCATTAGAAGAAACATTGTATACTTGCTTAGCTTCCTGACCTGAGCAATATTCATTGTTTCATGCATCGCATAATGTGATGAGAAACATTTATATATCAATGATTTTTAATCATACAAATCATATCTTGCTTAGCTTCTTGACCTAAGGAACATTCATTATGTAATACTCAATAATCACTTCATCTAAATACGTGCTTAGCTTCAAGACCTAAGTGACGTTCAAGATCGTTTCTTTACACCATATATGATGCTTAGCTCCATGACCTAAGTTAATTCATATATCGTGTCACATGATGTAATTGTCCTTAGCCTCCTAGCCTAAGAACATTCATCATGCATACATTATTTTCAAGACAAGCAATTCAATCCATACGATTAATTTGGTCTTGCTTAAGGAGGAAGTTCAAAACTTCTTCCCTTTTTCATTATTTTCTTTTGGGGAAGATCAAAAAAAATTTCAAAATTTTTATCGAGGGAAGTTCGAAAACAAAACTTCATTTTTCACGTCTTTCTTTTTTGGGAGAAAGCCAGTACCCTCCACTCATGACAAAAATTGACGGAAAATTTTTGCTTTTGCATCTTCGTTTGCTTGTGTCTGCACACACACATACACACACACATAGTCACAAGTCATACACATGTCATGTCACATCAAGTAACACTTGGTCAAGTCAGTGGTCAAGTCAATCACAATATATACGAGTCCATTGGCAAATTTATTTTTGCAGGTCTCATCTACAACCCATGTTCAAGGACAAGCGAACCAACTACAACCCACATTTGGGGACAAGCGGACCATCTACAGCCCACGTCCGGAGACAAGCTGACCATCTACAGCCCACATCCGGGGATAAGCGAACCATCTACAGCTCACGTTTGGGGACAAGCGAACCATTTACAGCCCACGTCCGGGGACAAGCGGACCATCTACAGCCCACGTCCGGGGACAAGCGGACCAACTACAGCCCACGTTCGGGGACAATCGAACCACCATCATTTCATGACACAAGGTTCTCGATACACAGAGACTTGCAATCTCATCATTTATAGACTTTCCTCAAGCATGGAAAGTATTATCAGGTGAATTTCTTCAAGCATAGAAAATCGCCAAATTTCTTTGTCGGCTTTCCTCAAGCATGGAAAGCATTATCGGTGGATTTCTTCAAGCATAGATTAACGCCAAAATCATATGTCGACTTTCCTCAAGCATGGAAAGTATTATCCGGTAGGTTTCTTCAGGCTTAGAAAGCTACCAAACTCATCTGTCGGCTTTCCTCAAGCATGGAAAGCATTTCAACAAACATCATCCTGTGGATTCCTTCAAGCATAGGAAAATACCAAACTCATTTGTCACCGATACACTGTTGTCAGATAAGCGTTCTATCCCTTTACTCTTTTATCTGTGGAATTAACATTTTTTGCAGGTATCGGCGTATACAAAGTGATTTAGGATCGCAGAACGTCTTAAATCATTCTCCGTCCCTATCAACTACTTTGACTATCGTTTTCGAAACTGACGTTTCTACAAACTCAGTCAAATTGGGGGCTTCTGTAGACACCTAAAAATGTCTTCCCAAAACCAAACCCGATGATGAACAACCTTTCATCGCCATTAGTGGTCAGGTTGAGTATTTAATCTTGGAGTGCTTAAATCCATATTTCCATTTCATAAAACCAACCCAACTCCTATCCAATTTCCCCAAAACATAACTTATTTTCCTCTTTCTGTGCCTTTAAACCCAAAATAATTCATTTCGTGTCCTTTAAAATCATTCATTTCGTGTCCTTTTTATAAAAACGTTTAATCCAGTTTATTTTGGTCCATAATATGGGTACAATGATTAAATAGTTGGATGGGTATTTAAAAGATCTTTCCAACGATATATTATAAGCCCAAATCCGAGTTATAACCAATAAGTTATGGCCAAAATATTAAATTGAGCCCAAATCGAACCTAAGGCCACCTTACCTACGACCCAATGATCATGTAGAGGGTCCAAATTATTTAATCCAATTTCTAAACCAATTAGGATTAATTGGAAGCTTCGATAAGTTTCTAAAAGATCTTAATTATCCTTTTTGAAAAGATAAAATTAAAGAGTTTGAAATTGAATAAAACTCCTTTTTTTTAAAGTCCTAATTTTATCCGAATTGAAAGACGTTCAAAGTTAGTCATATATGATTTTCGTGACTTTTATTTTTCATCCAATTTTATATGGTTGGATAGCCCTTGAAATTATCTTTCCAATGATAATTATAATATCAATTCCGAGCTATAACGGAAAAAGATATGAATTAAATGTCAAACTCTATCCAAAACTAACACTGTCTCACTATTTCGGCTATATATTTTGTTTTTCAAAATATTTTAATCTGATTCTAATTGGGTTAGAAAGTATATTTCAAGAGCTTTCCAATGATATCTTATTCATCTTATTTCAATTTCTGGATCAAAAGATATGATAAAAACAAATACCGCAAAAACTGCAGTCTATCGAGTTTTATTCCGATTTAATTCGGATCTTATCTTAATTCTTCGACCCCTCTTTTTTCTCCATAAATAGAGTTCATATCATCCCTTTTTCAATCATCAACAACCTTGATCATCAAATCCTTCTCTCTTTCTCTCTTTTACACCAAAAAATCATTATATTCTCTCTCTCCCATATTCTAAGCTTTAAAACTATATTCCTAATTACATCATTCTTCCCTTAAGCACTCCAAGGAGTCTATACTAAACCCGAGGTTCCGTCCTGAAACTAAGGCGTGAAAAGGTATAAGTAACTGAGAGTTTGGACCAAATCAAATCTATATTTATTTAATTTAATTTTTAATTTGATTTATATTTTTATTGAATTTACTAACAATTTATTCATGATGTAGCAATTTAAAGGAACGCGCAGAATGTGAGTAATTAATTAATTTAATTACTTTTATTTTATTTTCTTATTGCTAGTATCATGATTAGGTTATTTTATATTTGATTTGACTAACGTTATTATTGTTAAATTGCTTCCAATATTAATGTTTATTCTATTATTTTTATGATCACTATATTGCATGTTTAAAGGGAATATGTAATTAAAAAACACGCCTAATAAGATAATTTGGACAACCGATTTAGGTTCCTTTTTAATCTTGTTAGTAAATCAAGGGATCACAATATTTTTGAAATATATGTTGCATTAATATTAAACTGATTTAGCTTAATAATAGTTTGGAGCGAATTGAATTTTGTTTGTATGCCTTTGAGATCACAGGAATCACTTTTCACTATAAGAATCGAGTAGAGGCCAATACGAGCGAATGTGAATCCATGACTTTGTACCATCATCCCCGATCCTCCTTTCGTGGTTCCGAACCATATGGAGTTAGTAATATCATAGATTATGAATGGGATGTAACCTTCACGGGTCAAACGTTGTAACCTATCGTTGTCCCTTTATCGTGGTTGCCTTTTATGATCTGTGAACGGTTTACAAGTTCCTTAAAAACTTGTTGGCGGGTCCCTACTTTCCTTGTCCTTAATCGTATTTTGTCAATTCCCACTTCCTATGAGTGCCAAGCATATTCACAACATGCTTTAACGTAGGCGCACTTCGAACGACGCCTAAAGTACCATCTTCATGTGAGGTAGTTGTTGAATCCTCTAATGAGTTTCAGGGGGGCAAGTTATACCTTCTGCACAAATCCCCTCTCTGGACTGTATGGCAGTGAATGTGGCTTCCCTTGCCCAGAGATTAGCTACATTGTCTCTAATTAAGACGATTGATACCGTGGAGACCATTGTGTCAACAAACCAAGTGAACATATACTGCTATGTTGAATCACCTAAGCTTGGGATGGTTTTTAAAACTTTTGAAGATGTAGAAAGCTACTACAAAGAATATGCTGAGCAAAAAGGTTTTTGGGTTATAAGAGTTGCATTTAATTTTTCGAAGAAGGATAAGGAAAGGAGAGGAGAGGGGTAACATGGAGGTGTGAGTGTTGGGGTCCACCCGATATGAGGGCAAGGAGGGAGGCTAAGAAGAGGGCCAAGGCCATGGAAATATGTGGTACTGGTGGGACAGTTAATGATGAAATTGGAGAAGATGTAATGCAGCGGGCAAAAAGAACTTCGAAGAAATGTGAATGCAGTGCCATGTTATATGCTGGGGTTGACTTTGATGGGTTGTGTGTTATAAGGAAACTGAAGAAAGAACATGATAACCACACCCCTAAACCGTCTGATGCTAAGTTGGTGAAGGAATATCGGATGAAGAATTATTACATATCCAATGTTAGGAAGAAACTGTTGAACTTCTATGAAGAAGGTGTCCCCATAAGGCAAATACATGGGTGCATGGCTACTGAGAGCGGTGTGGATAACCTTCCTACTGTCAAGGATCTTGAACATGAAGTGTCCAAGGAAAAGAAAAAGCGGTTGAAGATGGAAGGAGGTGATGTTGTTGTGATGATGGCGTACTTTGACCGAATACAGAAAGATAATCAGAATTTCTGTCACGCACATCGCTTAGATGAAGAGGGTCGTCTGAAGGATGTAATGTGGGTTGATGCTCGTAGTAGGGTGGCTTACGAAGAATTTGGCGATGTGGTTTGCTTTGATGCCACTTACCTAACTAATCAGTATGAGCTTCCTTTTGCCAATTTTGTGGGTGTTAACCACCACAGGCAATCTATCTTATTGGGTTGTGCCCTTGTGTCACATGAGGATTCAGACACATTTGGTTGGATTTTTAGGCACTGGTTGTCTTGTATGGGTAACAAAGAACCCGTGGCTATTTTGACTGATCAAGCCGCTGCAATGCGCAAGCCATTGGAGAAAGTTATGCCGAATGCGCGCCATCGGTGGTGTATTTGGCACATACTGAGGAAATTCCCAGAAAAGCTTGGAAAGTGTAAAAAGTAAGGTTTCTTGTTTATTTTAAGTAATTTGAGTTGCTAATAAAACTTAAATTATCTAGAATGCTTTGTGTATTTTGATAGTTTGAGTTAGTACTGGGGTTGTTTTGATAGTTTGATGCCAGCTTGTTGTTGTGAATTAAATGTTCATGTTGTTACTATAGTTTGGTAGAATAATTTGATAAGTTAGTATAATGTGAATTTGTTGTGCTCATGATCATTTGGTTTGAGTATAATGCAGTGTTTGGTTGCAGCAACACCCTCTGTTTGTTAAGCCTATAGTTTTTCCTATGTGTGACCTAATGTTTCTACTGTAAGAGATTCTTATTATAATTTCTAACCAAATTTGTGTAATTGGAGTTAGAAGAATTTCATTCCCTTTAAGAAAATCTGATTATGAAGGTGTGATAATAATTTGCTGTGATACTTTGATAATGTGAATATTCTGTGATCAATGTAAAGAGATTTTGTTGTGATAATCTTCTGTGCTCAGTGTAATCATATTTGGTGTGATAATTTGGTGTGTGATTCCTTTATATGAATAGTATGCTGTGACAATTTGTAGCAAACCCTAAGTTTCTGTTACCCTAAATTGAAGAAGAACATGATGCATGTTCCAGCTGCCTGATTAAGAATTGGTATGTGCATATGGGCATATGCATGATTAATTTATTATACTCTCCAAATGTAGCAGTTTAGGCTGCCTTTAAACTTGTTTGTTATATGTTCCAGCTGGTTGTAAATTTATTTTGTAAATGTTCCAGCTATCAAGATTTTAAGAGTCCACTAAAGACTCTTATTTATGAGAGTTTCATAGTTGCTGAATTTGAGCGTAGATGGTCACAGCTAATGTCTGTGTATGAGCTAGAGGACGATGAGTGGTTAAGCAACCTATATGATGAAAGACATATGTGGGTGCCCGCATTTATGAAAGAGCATTTCTGGGCCGGGATGAAGACAACACAGAGGGTTGAAAGCATCAACAGTTTTTTCGACGATTTTGTAAACAGAAAAACCAAGTTATATATTAATTCCCTGAGAAGTACACTAGGGCAATAGAGTGGCGCGTTTCAGCGGAGATGGATGCTGATGCTAGTTGTGGGAAATATGTTAGACGTCTTGTAACTGGGTTCCACGTTGAGAGATTTTTCCAACAGATTTACACCAACACAAAGTTCCAAGAGATTCAGATTGAGTGTTGTAGACTTATACATTGTTCTGGTAGGGAAGAGCTTGTGCTGGAAGGGAATATTATTCAATACCTACTTGAAGATAGGGTGTGGATAATACCGGAAGGGAAGAGTGAAGAAGTCATAATAGATAGGAGGCGTTTTTATAGTGTTTTTTTAACACTGTTACAAAGGATGTTTCTTGTGATTGCCGGAAGTTTGAAACCTTCGGTATACTATGCCGGCATATCATCCGAGTGTACGATCAAAATTTGGTTCATGATATTCCATCGAAGTACTTTGTTAATAGGTGGCGCAAAGATGTACCTAGGAAGCACACCCGGGTTAAGGTTGCCTACCACGATCCTACTGATAATGTGACTTTTCAGATGTTTAACAAAATGATGGTTGAGTTTGAGCCAATATGCGAAGAAGCATCACGTGTTTTTGAGTACAGGGAAACTTTTAATCTGGTTATTGCCTCTCTTCAGACGTTTCGTTTAGAAGTGCAGAAAAGCAGAGACAAGTTCCTTGAAAACCTACCAGCATTGCCAACCCTACCAAGGAACCTTTTTCCTCCCTCTGAAATTGGTTCCAACAACCCTGAGTGTTGCCACACCCCTAGGTCAGTGTCCAAGCCAGTAGGCAACCCATTTGTGTGCCCCGTAGTGAAAGACCCTATTTCACGCAAGAAACCACGAGGAAGGCCTAAGGGGTCCAGGCATAAAAGCCTTGCAGAAATGGGGTACAAGAAGCCCAATGCCAAAACAGGTTTCATGTGTTCTGATCAATCAACACTTGTTAAGCTACCTGTAAGTCCATACCCCATACTGTCCTTTGAATGTATTACTTTCAGTTTTTAATGTATTATGGTCCTATCCTTAATTAATATATCCGTGTCCCTTGGCAGGCGAAGAGGAAGAAACACTACCCGAGCAACACCAAAACACGATTGATGACTATTATGAATACGTTGAGGAAGATCATGATGAAGGGCCTGATGACATTCTTCAAAGAAATGGAGTTGGATGGTCTATTCCATCGGAGACCTTTTGACAAGTGGTGTTATTAGCTTATAGATGAAGCTCTATCCTTAGACTACCTGTTCGTGATTGTAGACCCTAACATATTTTGAAAACGTTTCAGTTCATGAGGTTTATGCATGTTGATCACACCAATGTGTGTATGTATGATTGTAGTCCCCTTTTGTCAGACGTCTTGTTAGCCCGTGGGTTGAACTTTAGTAATTGTTAACTGCCATGTGATGTGTGGCCTGATGTCTGCATTTGCCTTTTAGTGTTTAGGTAACTTCTTTCAGGTTTCCTGTAATTCACTTTGGACCTGAATTCACTGTCATGTTATTGATTCAGACCGGATGGTATTGCATTTTTATGTTTTTGTTTTGGTTTTATAATATTTTTATTATAATTTTTTGTTTACAATTGTCGTCATACTATGTTAATACATAAGACTTTGTAAGACATGTTTACTTTCTTTGCATATAGCACTCCTATTATGTGTGTGTAGCTTGATAAGAAGGGTTACTGTGAATTTGTACTGTGAATTTTCCATTTTGATATGAGAAGATTTGAATACACAATCTTCGGGCATGCTTTACTAGCTAGGTTTTGTCTATGGACACTAATGTTTTTAGCAGCATTCTGGATGATACAGGATAATAAAAACTGAAGGGTACAATTATTAAACACCATATTTGGGCCACTTCATTTTGGGCCAATACATTTTGGGCCAATTCATTTTTTGGCAATTCATTAGTAATTGGTTCTACGTAGTTGTTATAACTGAGTTGAACATGTAACTGTGCCCTATTTATTCAGACTGGCCCAGTACAAATTGGGCTTTTCACATGTTCGAGTCACAATATCATCTTGTTTTTGGTAGTCGAGTCACAATCAAATAATTATCAAAGGCATCAATATAATGGGTGAATTATAATAATCACCAACACTGGGTCAACAATCCATTCGCCAAAAGATGAACAATCCATTTCCTACATGGGCCATTACTATTCAACTACAACATAATTCAACATAGATAGAGACATCGTCACTTTATATTACAACAAAAGTTGTGGCAGTTAACCGTCCAACCACTTAATGCATCCTACTTTAGCATCATAATTAGTTCATACATATAATACAATCAAAAGGAGTAGGAGTGGTGGCATCTATTAGAAACTTAGACCCTAGTTCCAAGAAACAAGCACTACTGACCCTTAACTTACGTACTACCATCCAAAAACAACTCTACTTGACAATCAGATCAGTCAAGTAAGTTTGGCGCGACAACCACCTTGTCCCCATTCTGAATACCAGCTTCTTGTATGGTGTTGAGGATGCATAACTTCATATCCTCGTGGTAGAACAGATGTGGAAAAGGCGGCACAACGGGCTGTCCAACTTGCCTTGTACGCGGAGCTTCATCTTCTTCCAGTGCCCCGTGTTCTTCAAGTAGAACCTCTTGATTCTTGTGTTAGTGTTGACAACTCCAGCCTTCACAAAATGGGGGAGCATATAAATTTCAGTACTTTTACTAATAACAAGGACATACCTTTTACTAACAAAATGGATAACATGTTAATTAAGTGGTTTAGTTACAAAAGAAATAACAAACCTACGTACTACGGCAAACACTCTTGTACTGCCTTAGATTACACATTTCTGAAATACATTGTAGTTGTTTGAAATAAATTGTAGTTGCAAAAATATAATCTATGCATATTGGCACAAGTAAATTTCAGTTACTCGTGCACTTATCATACATAATAACAAGGACGTACCCGTTACTAACGAAATGGACAACATGTTAATTAAGTGGTTTAGTTACAAAAGAAATAACAAACCTACGTACTACGGAAAACACTCTTGTAGTGCCTTAGATTACACATTTCTCAAATACATTGTAGTTGTTTGAAATAAATCGTAGTTGCAAAAATATAATCTATGCATATTGGCACAAGTAAATATCAGTTACTCGTGCACTTATCATACCATAAATTAATATCTTATATGCCAACCATAGTTAAGTTATTAAATTATTAAGAATTATTAACTTATCTTTCAGACATATATGGATAATTACAATAATAGCTTATCTTTCAACCACATGTAGATAATCAAATATAAAAGTCATCTATCAACCAAACATATTTACGGACATAGTATTTATCAATATTTATCAATATTTAACCACGCCAAAATATAATAATTACACTAAGAATGAATCATCATATAATTATCTAAAAATCAAAATAAAGCACCTCAATTATAAACACGACTTCACATTAGCTTACTACGTAATTTTAACTAACAATATACCATGCAACTTTAATTAATAAGTTAAAAGCTTCCAAATTAAAAATAAGTTACCAAACCTTGCACGTAGAGCACACTCCCCGTTTCAATACCCATTTGGAGAGGAAGATCAGTAGATGGTACATATGTGGCTCCATGGTACACCTTGATATTCGTTGGCTTCACATCAATGCGCTCGGCATAGTCCTTGTACACAACCTCGAAGGTCTAATCGCTATGAATGGTGTACATGACACCTACATCACCAAGCTGGAAGCTCCTTAGTATGATTGATAGGACAACTGCCTTGCCATTCCCAGCCGGAATAGCCTCATTGAGGTCAATATCCACATCATCCATATCTCCTTCGTGAACCTCCGGGTTTTCTTGAGGAGCAGATGTTGTAGCATCCGACTTTCCACCAGTGATCATACTTTGCCCAACATGATGTTTTTCCATTTTGACACTAGAAGAAGTGTGAGAAGGTGAAACCGTAGCAGTTTAAGGACGGGTGAGGGTAGGTGCAGGTGGTTGTGGGGCAATATTTGGTTGTTCAACCATCATGTCCGTCGCAGTTGGTACCTGCGGCTCAGTAGGTGGATGGCTAGGACCGGCAGAAGAGGTAGATGGAGCCAGTCGTATGTGCTCAAGATGCCAGGGAGGGTATTTCAAGTCAGCAAGTAGCTTAGCAATGTAGGCTTTACGACGTTCATCTTTTTCAGACGAGGTTTTAGTTTTTTGGAGATGAGGTTTTGGAATATCAGGCCGACGACGACCACCGTTTCCATCGTCGTCGTTGCCCGCATTGCCAGGTGTAGCGTTGGGTTCCTAAAACTTGTTGGAGACTCTTTTGCTCTATATTCTTTCCCTTTGGACGCCACCGTACTTTAGTGTATGATCACAGTGGGGTTCAAGCTAGGGGATTAACGCTTGAAATATTCCCTACAGTTTTTGGCGACTCCACTGGGGAGGATTTTTATTTTAATTCCTCAATTTGTTTCGGCAATGATTTAGAATGAGTGGATGAGACTCGAAACGTTCTAAGTATTTCATGTGCGTAATTTTAATTAAAATTATTTTCATATGCATAAAAAAGATCTCATTGGAAAGACCATCCGTAATGAGTTAAAACATAGGATTTTACACGTAGGAAATTTGAGGAATATCTTTCACAACTAAGATCGAAATAACACTGCGCGAAACTGGAAAATTTTATCGAGCACAGAAAACTACTGAGGCATGTAGGAATTAGCGTCAGCGAACAGAAGCTGGCGCCAGACAATTAACCGTAGCGCCAGACGACAGCCATGTCGCCAGGCGCTACAGCGAAATTCTGGCGCCAACCTCTGTTTGCTGGCGCCAAATTCTTCCAATACCAAGCCAGAAATATGCGTTCTAATTTCGACTAGTTTTTCGTATTGTTTGCTCGATCCTACTTCCTAATTGAGTTTTTCTCACTTTTCTGAAATCCATATGTGTTCTACATATAGACAAAACCCTCTGGGAATTCATGCTCCATCTACCTGATTGAGCGCTCTGAGCAACAAAGAGTACATCTAAGAATGTTGAATTCACC